CGTTATTTGTAGAGTGTTAAATAAACAAATTAACCATCTCTACGGCGTCTTCAGTAACGAAACACGTTACAAAATATATATATATATATATATTATATGTTGTTTGCAAGTTGCTGGCCCTGAAAAAGGGGCGTTTGTTCAAACATATGTTGTTCAAAAGTTTTCTGCCCCTGAAATGGGCCGTTTGTTCCACTGTGCCTTATTCACAAGATTGCTGGCCCTGAAAGTGCCGTTTGTTCAACTGTGCATGCACTAGTAGAGTTTGCTACTTTGTAGCAGACCAGGTCTTCTTTACAGCCGTTCAGCTGGTCTGGCTAGCCGGTGATGCGGTGCTGCATGTGCTGGTAGGATCAGTGGCCTATGGTGTGTGCACTGGCAGAGCCCATTGTCTCGGCGTGGTTGCTGGAGAGTTACGGCTGCTGCTTCATGACGATTGCTCTTGATCGGTGGACTGGAGAAGAGCTGATGATAGCCAAAGTCAAAGTCATGTTGCAACTGACAGTCAGTCAGTCTGTCTGTCTCGACCAGATATTTCTTTTGTGATGATAGCCAGTTGTGAACCTCCCATTTTATACCATTACTGCTGGGCGGAGCTAGCTATTGTGAGTGCTGATTGGCTAGCACCTGCTTTGATCTCCAGGGGGCCCGGACAGCGAGTGCTGTATAAATATGAGACTGACTGACTGTTGGTTGCTAACAAGCAGAAGTCATACAAAATCATGATAATGAGAATGTTCGCAACATCGGACAAGGCAAAGCCCGTCACAGAAAGTATAAGAGGCTTAAACTTGGCAGCGGTCAGGCATACGACCGTTCAAGTGACTAGACTGCCGTGGTAGCGATTACTACTAGAAATAGGGCATAATCTGCTGTACAAAGCCTGGATTGACAGAGGCCTTGTAATGTACATAGAAATAGTAATTAAGACTAGAATTAAATTGTAAATATATGTATATACTGACAATGGACTGACTAAGACTGACAAATGACAGACCCGACCTCTCATCAGAGAGGGCACCCCAAATGGACAGGACAGCAACTTTCACAAAGAAGAAGCTGGGGCTCGGCACCAAGACAGACAGACTGACTGACCGACCGACCATCAGTTGCAACATGACTTTTACTTTGACTTTGACTTCTTGGTCGCAATGTGAGTTGATACGCCCTGGCTTGAGCAGAAGTTGAATGTTGTCTGTTAGACCGGCGAAACTGTGTGTTAGGATGTTGGAGGTTCCCACACCTTTTTTGTTGTACTTATAATATATGAACTTTCTTATCATGTGTAGTGTGTTATATTTGATCTATATTTTTGAAGTCTGATATTTTTTCCAGGTTTTTATTATATATGTGCCCACAGGTTGATTACTTGAGTGCTAGAAAGGGACCTGACCAACATTATTTAAATTAAGGTAGTTGTTGATGTTTTATTATATAAAAAGAACATATATTTAAAGAAAGTGGTGATATGTTGTGTCCTGGATCATTTTACAGGTTGCATTGAGTTGCGAGAAGACACAGTGGAAAAACTCATGAGCACAGCCTCTCTTCTGCGGCTCACTGCTGTAGTTGATGCATGTTGTTCATTGCTAATGAAGCAGCTCCACCCCTCAAATTGTATTGGTATTCGACACTTTGCTGACGCTCAAGGCTGTATGGAGCTACTCAAAGTTGCACACAATTATACAACTGTAAGGACTTTGATATCTACCTTCTGTCCAGTTTTTAGTGTAAGATACTTGATGTCAGAATGATATTTGATCCACGCAACATTGAAAGAGATGTATATATTTGTTTCAGGTTGTTTCAACTCTCTTAAGTTTTAATTCAATGAATTATCAACATTCACTACCACAAATACTAAATGTTACTCCTTCATGCCTGTCAGGAGCTTTTTTTCTTTTATTGTGTTTATAACTTGCTTTAAAATATTAGAATACCTGATTAATTAATTTAATAATGTATAAAGCAGTTAAATTGCAGACATTTTGAAAACAATATATGGAGAAATGCCAGAAGTATTAAATAGTATAAGCAGTGTTCCATTATAACTGGGAACACTGTATGGCAAAGTCCCAGATATCTGGTATCCAAGCATCCAGAATTTTTATACATCTGGCCAAAAGTTCAAAGAAAATTTATCATTTATGTAAAGTTACTTCAAAAGCAAAGCTGGAGTGTGTTTGTGTTCACCCGCCATGTGGGAGTTCTCCAGTCTTCCACTGCTTGTTGTTATCCATGTAGGTGCGATCACAGTAAAGGATAGTTTCAATTTTATTCGTGTGTCAGTGCATTTAATTTGGACTTGGGGTTTCTCACTCCAAAAAATTGTATGTTTAACACTGTATAGACCTGTCTAGTAGACTTCACTGTATTGGGTTTCTGTAAGAGTATTTCTCGTACAACTGGCAGATCCATGTAACCAGCACACCCCATTCCCCCATACATGCCAAGTAACTGGAAATTTATTGCACATAATGACAGTAATGAGAAGAGAAAAATCTCTTATCCCTACTTGGAATCAAATCCTGACTCATTTGTTCAGCCCATAGCCTGGTTGCTATACCAACTGGGCTATCCTGGCTCCCAGGTTGTTATTTTATATTGTACATCGAATAACGTGTTTTGAAAATGTGGCACAGTTCAGATATTTGGGAATGACTATAACAAATCAAAACCTGATTCAGGAGGAAATTAAGAGGAAATTGAACTTTTGTAACACTTGCTACCATTCAGTCCAGAACCTTTTGTCTTATCGTCTGCTGTTTAAAGACATGAAAGTTAGAATATACAAACCCATAATTTTATTTTGCCTGTGGTTCTGTATGTGGGTCAAACTTGGTCTCTGACATTAAGGGAGGAACATTGATTGAGGATGTTCCCATCTACTTCTTGTGAATTGTTGAAATTATACAGATGGTATTTTGATCATCTTCTTCTGAAAACTGAACTTTCCTGTGCTTGAACCAAAGAAAAATCAACAAACCAAACACTTGCATGGTGCCAGCCCAGTAACCCATATAACCCAGAATAGTTCAAGACAGTTACATAAGAAAAGCAGAATGACATTACAGGAGAGTAGCAGATACCTTCATCACAAGAACTTGTACGCCTGTTGATGGCCAGTTAGGCCGAAACATGTAGTGACACATTATAGAAAGAAGATGAGTGAATATTAACCGTTGTTGCACACAATGGCAAGAAGTGGAACACAGAGTCAGATCTACATACAGTGCAACAGGATGCTACAATATAATATTATTCTGGGCCTGCTCAAATATTTAATTGCTTCATATCCGAGTGCAGCATTACGAGAAATCGCAGACTTGTCTTTGTTTTTATTAACAATGTCAGTCATCAGCGCTTATGTCGTGCAGGCCTTCTCTGCTCTGAAGCAGGTTCGTACTTACCTATACAGCATGCAGACTCAGTAGAGACCCAATATGCTGTCATTAATGACACCTGAGGAAAACAGTCTTCCAAGACCTAGAAGAAAGTCCAGACTTATACTGTGGCAGATATTTTCACTTCAGAATTGCTACTTGGACCTAAAGTACAAGAAGATCAATAGTCACCATTTTCTCCTACTGTAAGACTTCCTTCCTCTGTTATTCCTTAACATGATTAACTTATAACTCAAATTTGGATGGTTGTTTTGTGTGATGTATATTGTCACGTATTGNTACAATATAATATTATTCTGGGCCTGCTCAAATATTTAATTGCTTCATATCCGAGTGCAGCATTACGAGAAATCGCAGACTTGTCTTTGTTTTTATTAACAATGTCAGTCATCAGCGCTTATGTCGTGCAGGCCTTCTCTGCTCTGAAGCAGGTTCGTACTTACCTATACAGCATGCAGACTCAGTAGAGACCCAATATGCTGTCATTAATGACACCTGAGGAAAACAGTCTTCCAAGACCTAGAAGAAAGTCCAGACTTATACTGTGGCAGATATTTTCACTTCAGAATTGCTACTTGGACCTAAAGTACAAGAAGATCAATAGTCACCATTTTCTCCTACTGTAAGACTTCCTTCCTCTGTTATTCCTTAACATGATTAACTTATAACTCAAATTTGGATGGTTGTTTTGTGTGATGTATATATTCCATTGCCAGAACTTTCACTACCTCCTGTCCTGGGATTTGGCTACCTCTTTCAGAAAAGTTGCACTCTGCTGTTGTGTTGAAGGGAAATATTTGTAGAGATTGCTGCCAATTCAAATCTTCATGGTCCATGTTAATGCAACTATCATCTGTCTCTCCCACCTCAATGGTCAGCTGATTTCTGATAGCTGTTGCATGATCATATTGTATTATTTGTGTTAAATTTTATTTTCAGGAACATTTTATGGAGGTTACTCAAAACCAAGAGTTCCTGAAGTTACCAGCTGATGAAGTGGCCAAGCTTTTGGCATCTGATGATCTCAATGTGCCTTCAGAAGAGGAAATATTTCATGTAAGCTGGTATCATATTATGCAAGAAAAATTCTGATAAGGTAAAATTCATATGGTTGAGAGAGGCTCTCAGAGTAATGACTCACAGAAACTCTAAACCTGGGATACTGGATAAGAATTTATGAGACAGATACTAATATGTAATATTTGTCAAGTTTGAATCTGTAGGTTTTTGGCTGTCAGTCAGTATATAAAATACAATAAATCTCTATATAAGGAAGATAAGAGGAACAAATCTTGCACTTCATTGATTAAGCTTGAGGATTTTTAATGAGGTGTCATTTACATAGAGACTGTCCTAGCATTCATTTGAAGTAGCTGAGGAAGAAACTGTATATACTAGCTGGTATACTAGCTGAGATGAAACCATATTCGATACCTTGTAAATGCAAGCCAGACTTGTGGATTTTCTTAATGGAGGTTTTATTATTGAAAAGTGTTCTAAACAGTTTAGTTTTTCTACTTAATTCTGTTTTCTTTTATGATCATTATATGTAAACAGGCATGAAGTTATTTGTCGTGTTATACACCCAACACGTGACAGTTTGGTGTCAGAAGTGGTTACGAACTTACACACGTGACCGTCAGAATTGGTTTACGAACTTATACACGCGAAAGGAACATGGAATCACAGCAGATGATGGAACTTCTGCTGAAGAAAATCAACGCTGGCCAAGAAAAAACAGACGAAATGCTGAAAGAGATAATGGCCTACCAAGAAAAGGTGGCGGCTGACTCGAAAGCCTGGTGAGAAGAGATGGCTGCAGAAAGAGAAGCTACCCAAGCAAGAACAAGAGCCATCGAAGCAAGAATGGCCACATGCGAGCCAAGAGGTTGAAAGCTGATATGAATGCCTGGCAGGAAGAGACGACAGCCTGCCAAGATGCAACGGAGAAAAATCCAAGAGAAAAGTGGATATAGTTGACTGACAGTCGATTCCTAATGAAGACAATGAGACGATAGCTTGCCAAGAGATGGAGGCAAGTCTAGTAGAAGAAAAGCCGGCCGCAGTGGACACGAAACCTGCGGCGGCAAAACAAGAAGAGGTCCCCACAGTGATACCGGTCGTAGAACCTGAAAAGGAAACAATGGATACCAGAGAAGAGACGATGGCCTGCCGAGAGATGGAGACACATCTACAAGAAGAAAAAGAGCCAACCTCAGTGGACAGGAAACCTGAGGTGGCCCAACAACGAGAAGTCCCCAATGAAGTTGCCGTAGTGAAACCGGTCAAAGGACAGAAGAAACGGTATAGGGGCAAGAAGCAAGCTGCAGGGCGACGTGGAGAGCCACAGGAAGTAACCCAAGGAATTTCTGGATCCCGGATGAAGTTGGCCACTGCTTGCAGGAAGGTGTCCCGCCATGCGACAGTGGCATGGCACAAGAGGAACATCCTCAGGAATTCGACCCAAGTAAAATGTGGACTGCGGCATGAATTGGCTGCCGAAAGAAATAAGACTAGCTGTGCAAATGTGACACAGCGCAAGAGACTGAGACTCCAGAGAGATCTGCTGGAGTCACGCACAAGCCCACATAAGGATTTGTCAAAGAAAGCACGAGAAGGACTCAATGTGAGAGGAGGACACAAGGACTTGTCCTGAAAGGGAAATTTGACGCATGTGCAAGTGCACAAGCAGACGTGCTGCACGGAATCCCAGCAGATGCGGACATCAAAAACTGAATACTGTGGAGGTGTCGACCCCCTCCAAAACGAAAAAGAAGCAAACCACAGAGGAGGAGCTGGTAATATAGAAGTACTGGGCTCCCGAGCAAGAGTGAATGTGCAATGGATGAATGTTATAGAACTGGATCTTCTGGCAAGTAAAAAGGGAACCGCTCAAGACAAACTCTGTCTTAAGAGGGGAGCGGATGTAACGGACAAAGAATAGTCGCTGCAAGAAGAGTAGCCGAAACAACAGGAGATCCACCAAGCACGTCCTTGGAAGAAAAGGAACGGAGATGCACCGTTAGGCTATTCGGGACGAACAGCCTTAAGGAGGGAGTAGTGTGATGTGTTGCGCTATGCAGGACACCCCTCCCCCCGCCAGCGGTGACGTAACACCATCGGAGCCCTGTCATTACTAGGGTAATAGGCAAGTCAACACTCCTTCCCCTACCCCACCAGTGGTGACGTGGCCAAGGGATGCCGTGGTTGCTATGCAGCCATAAACAACTCCTGACAGCGTTGCCAGTAACACCTGTAAACACGGCGCCAGACAACAGTGGTGCCTATTATGTGGCTGTTTTCTGTGTTGTCCGGAACGAGGCTACATAGGGAGCAGTGAAGACTATTCACAGTTAGTTTACGAGATAGTTACGAGTTTGCCAGGCAGTCAACCTTTCAGTTGCAGTCTAGTAATTGTAATACTGCAGATAGCAGTAATGTTGAGCTTTTAAATTGTGCGATTGTAAGAGCGAATGTGAAATAAAATTCGCTATAACCAACAAGGCATGAAGTTATTTGTCGCATTATACACCCAACACGTGACAATAAGATATGCATATTGTGACGAATATGACCGTTGTTAGTCAGTGGTTTGGTAAACACATTCCAGAGCTTATATTATTAAATTATATTTAAATTTTATCTAAAAATTAATTTATTCTTTTATTACCTGAAAGCACATTAATTGTGATATGTTTTTCCTCAGGCTTTAATGATGTGGGTGAAGAATGATGTAGATTATAGAAAGAAGGATGTAAGCCGCCTGCTTGGTCTTGTTAAGCTTCCTCTTCTTATGCCATCGGTAAGATTTTGTAAATTGAAGACTTTGGTTGTGACATATATTCAGTTCATCGCTCTTGTTACACTAGAGGTTTTATTCTTACGTGAGTTGCTATAGAATGACAAGTATGTTGTTCTTGGGAGACCTGAGGTATATTCTTTAACCTTTATTGACTTATCATCAAGTATTCTCTATAGTGAATTCTTGGTTCATCATGACTTTGGGGCGAGTAAACATGTCGCATATGCTCCTCCCTTCCCTCCCTGAGCCAGCCTAAAGCGTAGAATTGTTATTTTTCCCACTCCTATTTATGGATCTCATTTATTCCCACCTGCTGTAAATTGTTTATAACATTGAACCTAACAAGGTGATTCACAGCTTGACAAGATCAGGTTTCAATCACATCTCTTTGCTTCTTGTGGTATATTTTATGATGATCAGGCCATGTAGTGTCAAATGGTAGGATGATTAGTGAATTGGAAAGTATTTGAAAGGAAGCAATCATGGTCTGAGGGACTGGAGGGACTGAGGGAAACGATGAAAAAGTACAGTCAAGATCTTGAATTGAGGCATCTGGGTGTATGTGACACAAAATAAGATTTATTTTATAAAAGCAATTCAACAAATTTTGCCCCCCCCCACAACAGAAAGGGTAAAACATTGTTATATTAAAGGATTTATCAAATAAGTTTTTATAAGTGAGGAATATCCTAGCTTATATTTGAATGATGCACTGCGAAATAAGTCAGTAATGTTTCCTATATGCCATCCTGTTCAGTATATAACTTCCACCTACCCTCATCAACTTTATCAGTATATCAAAAAGGAGTCTACTTTACTGGCATAAAAGTGTTCAACAATCTGCCACAAAGTATATTAAAAACTTGGGCAATGATACTAAAAAGTTTAAATCAGAGTTAAAGAATTATCTACATGCTCATTCCTTCTACTCTTTAGATGAATACTTCAATGTAAATAGAGAATGATGTAAAATTAAGTTATATTAATTTTTAAGCTAAAATTGCCTGTACTTACGTATGTAACCTTTTGACTTGTTCTGTATCCAAAGGTACTAACCTGCTTAGGATTTATAGAATGTAAATAAATTCAATTCAGTTCAATATGTGGACTCTGTCATTACACCATTCTCACTTATTTACTGTTTAATCACCTCAGAGGTACCAGCATGTAAATGAGTCAAAAGAAAGACAAATATAAAATGTTCCTAATTTTTTGTTGCTGTGCAGAGTAAAGCAGGTTTGAGTCGGATGGAGTGAGCAGGGAAGGAGGCACACATATAGGTCAGACCACAAACACAGACTTGTGTGTATTCTAGTATGTTAGTGGAAAATGACCTAATGAAATGGAAGTAAATAGGAATTCCTAGACACACTTAACATTTCCATGCACTATTTCTATACACATATTAATACATTATGTGTTCAATCTATTTCTTGTGGCATAGTTTATTGCAGATTACATTGAGACAGATCCGCTATTTCGAGAGGATCGTGTTTGCCAAGAACTTATTATGGAAGCTCTGAAGTATCATTTGCTCCCTGAACGCCGTCCAATGCTCCAGTCACCTCGTACTCGTCCAAGGAAGTCTACAGTTGGAGTTTTATATGCTGTTGGTGGAATGGATGCTAACAAAGGTAGGAGAAAATAGTAAGCCCCAGACATGAATAAGCACAGATTGTTTTAATGTCTGTAATTCATGATCAGTTCTGGCATAAGGAGCATAATGTTTTGTTTCATGATCACAGTGACATCATCACTCGAAAGGTGTTTTATTTTCAGAAACACACTTAAACCTAGCTTTAAAAATACACTTCATTAATTCTGATGTTGATTCTGAGCAATGTTGCCAACATTTCATACGTATTATTAATACTAGAATTACATGTAAANGGCTGAACGGGGCTGATAGTACGCACCAGTATCGGTAGGGTATGGCGACAGTAGAAATTAAAGGGGGACGCACAATGGACCAATAAGTGGTCTAAGTGCATGAGGAAACCCACCCCCTCTAATAATAATAGTAATAATAATAATAATACATGTAAAACTGAGGCCACGCCATAGCTCTAGTGGTTAGTTGCTGGCTTCCCATCGTGGTGGCCTGGGTTTGATCCCAGGTCTGGTCAAGTGGGATTTGTGGTGGACAAAGTGACACTGGGGTAGGTTTTCTCTGAGTACTTCGGTTCCCCTGCCAGTCTTCATTCCACCAATTGCTCCACAATCACCCTCACCTATCATCTGGGGTTGGTACAATAGGCCAGAAGTGGCCGCAGTACAAGGGACTTAGTCCCACCCCACTAGCATTAAAAGAAAATAAATTACATGTAAAACTGTAAATAGTAAATGTCCGCAAGGAATTGGTCTCTTGACAAATGGCTATGTAGAATGCTGACATGTAAAATTATAAATATAGATGACATATACTACTGATTTTGACTGCAGTAAATATTACTGCACTGGTTAGGGCCAGCAGCAGTTGTAAATAACAGACCCATCCTCTCATCAGAGAGGGTGCCCCACGTGAACAAACGTGCCACTGTCTGACAGTAACAAAAATCTGGTTTTTGGCCCCAGAAGTGGTTTGACATCAAGACAGTTGGGCTGACTGACCATTGGTCATAACTAGGGACCGGATTTTTATGCCCTAATAATCACTTAAATATGTATGCATTTATGCATGAAAAACTTCTGAAATATGCACATAAAATTTATACCAAATATTAAAATTGATTTTACATTATTTTAAGACCAACAAATCAATATTTAAGTTCATTTTATGTAATCACTGAATGATTCACTTGCAACAAAAAGTTATACTTAAATACAAATCATGCAACAAAGCCAACTTATTTCATTACAAATTTAAAAAAACCAATGGCACTCACATTTAGCTCTCCGAACGTTCAACTTGTTTTCTGTTGCAGTTCACAGTTACTAAATGTTTTAGGTTTTCCATAGTTAGTCGCCTCCTATTGTCTCGTAAGATGTCCTTATAGTGGGAAAACCTTCATTCCACCTCACAGGAAATTAGGGGTGCATGTACAAAAGCCGCTATTTGTTCCACTGTTAGTGATTTTTTACTTGGCAGTTCAGTACATTTACCAGGTAAAATTTCTTCAATTTCACAAATTTGTTCATATCCTGGATTTTTTTAAAGAATGCTGTGTACTTTTTCCTTTATTACTTCACCAACTCTTCCAGGAACCGAATTCAATTTGGAAACAGTGGTTTTGAACACACTTGTAGTATTGCTGTTGCTTGCCTCCAGTGAGGAAATGGCAGATGGAAGATGAGGGAAGTGAGCAGATATATAGGAAAGATTAATTTCTAGTTCTGTGTTTTTTAGTACATTTTGGGCAATTTGAATTGATGCTGCACTTCTGGGATGAAATGTATTCACGACATTCCTAACTGTTTCTAAATGTTCGGTATAATAACTCGCTGCACACAGCCACGTGTCCCAGCGTGTTAAAATTGGTTCTGGCGAAAGTGGAATGCTCAGTGCTACTGCTTTAAAGGCTTTAAAGGCAGTGACAGCTGTCACTGCAGCTACTGCTCTCTGCATTCCAAGCCATTCAACTGCTCTGAAGATGGAGGCGATACATTCCTCTGAAACGTCGGCCAAAACGAAGAATACACGGCGCCTAAACCCAGAAGACGACTTTCTTCGAAATATAAGAGGCTTAAACTTGGTGGCAGTCAGGCCTATGACAGTTCAGCTGACTAACTCCAGTTTCAGAGTAGTTACATGAGTTAAGGCATAACCTGCTGCACAAGCCTACTTTGGCAGGAAACCTCTGTATATCTTGCATAAATGTTGGTAGAGTGCAGTGACAAAGGATGCACAGAGCCCATTGAGAACTGGATGCCATGACAGCTTGGATATACTTGTGCTGAAACTACGATGCAACAAACCTAGCACCTACATAGAAAGACTGACCCTTCCTTCGTTGAAGAGGAGGCCCATTTCGAAACACATTCATATCTAGGAGAGAATGAAAGTCATGGTCATGGATCTCAAGGAGACTGAAGCCAGGAATGACTGTGCTGGCAAAGACCAGCAGCAATTTTATTGCCTGACCGAAGCTAGTCTAGTATAGCTGCACAACTCCCAAAGTCATGAGAAAAACATGTGATCATGGGTCCTGCAGGACTCAGAACCAAGAATTACTGTGTGTATGTTGAGAGCCAGCAACAATTTACTTGACAGACNGAATGTAACTCAAAGACAGCCGAATCTGACCTCCAACTTATGTTGACTAACTTCCTTTTGTCTATAAATGATATAATGATACAAATTCCGTCCCAAGTGCAAACAATATATTATGTGTCCTTGATCTTGTTCACCTACACTACATGTTTCGGCCTCAGACGGCCATCATCAGGTGTATAACACTCACGTCGCTGTCACACTGCACTCAGCCTAAAATTTAACATTTAAAACACTTTCATTCTTATTATCAACATCTACTTCGTTGATATCTGTCTGGATGTAGATTATTTTACACACGTTACTTTTGACGTACCTGTAGTAGCACTATAAAATCTTTAGTTCTAATTTTAAAATCCTTTAAAATTTTTTCTCAAAATTTTAAATTTTAGAGAAAAAATTTTAATTTTAATTTTATAGTGCTACTATAAAAAATTTTATAGTAGCACTATAAAATCTTTAGTTCTAATTAAAATTAGAAAATTAAAATCTAGTTAAAATTAGAACTAAAGATTTTATAGTGCTACTACAGGTATGTCAAAAGTAACGTGTGTAAAATAATCTACATCCAGACAGATATCAACGAAGTAGATGTTGATAATAAGAATGAAAGTGTTTTAAATGTTAAATTTTAGGCTGAGTGCAGTGTGACAGCGACGTGAGTGTTATACACCTGATGATGGCCGTCTGAGGCCGAAACATGTAGTGTAGGTGAACAAGATCAAGGACACATAATATATTGTTTGCACTTGGGACGGAATTTGTATCATTATATCATTTATAGACAAAAGGAAGTTAGTCAACATAAGTTGGAGGTCAGATTCGGCTGTCTTTGAGTTACATTCTTAGCATCCACTGCCTAGCAGTAACTATGAACAAACAGAAGACTTTATGTATGCTGTAGTTGTGATCTTTAGACTGTTATAGTTAATTGTAGCTATAGGAAATAAACATTCAATAAATAAAATTATCAACCTGAACGTGGTATATAGTCCCTAATATGTGACAATATATGAGTATATAAACATATGTATTGTGTATATATGAAGCACTTGCTTGGGAACATCAGTCGATTATAGATTTTTGGTGCACTCTGCAGACCTGACAAGGGCCATTTGATGCTGTTCCCTGCTTACTGTCCCTGTTGGCCCAAAGTGGGCATCACCTTCCACCTCACTTGTAAATTGAACAAGTCTCACAGTTTACTTTTTGCTATGTCAGCTTTATAAAATGTGGTGAAAATGATTTTTTCAGTGTATATGTTTATTATAATGCTTAGTATTAATATGTCACACTTTAATTTAAGAGAATTATCTGTCAAATTAACTGTAAAGCAAACATATGTTTAATTATATCTAAGTAAGTAGCATGCATGGTGTTAATTTTGGCATTGAGTAATAAATTTTGCTCATTATATTGTGGCATACCTGCCAAAAGCTGGAATAGTTAATCAGAGAAGACACATTACTAGGTTAGAGCACAGTAAACAGGATATCAGCGTAGCAACAGTTATGCACACAACAACAGAGGGATCGTGGAAAGTGGTGTTCTCTGTTGGATCACTGCATAGGCTATATCTGGAGAGCTGAAACCGATGAAGAGTCAGTCAAGGAGAGATTAGCAGTCCACAGATGAGGTGGAAGCAAGCAGTAGTCAGTGGAGGCCAGTTGCAGCTAGGAGCAAATGGCCAGGAGTTGCAGCCACAAAGAGTTACAACATAGTATGAGATGGGTGCCAGCCAGTGAGACCAGAGCCATGGAACAAGGATGCGAAGGAATCCACAGCACTGGAAGCCATTGCCAGGCGACAAATGGTGAAAACACAGCAGACTAAGAAGACTTAGTGCATGCTGTATTGGATTGTAGAGTGCATGAATCAGCAGTAGCACTGAAATTAATTGTAGTCATGAGTTTAAAGAGTCCAGTAAATCCGATTACCAATCCAAACCCTGTGTCTAGACACGTATGGGTAAATACGTGACAATATTTTGCTTCAGGTGCTAACAGAAAGATGAATAAAGAATTCTGGAATATAGAGACTGGTTATTATTTCAGGTGCAACAAACATTGAGAAGTATGATCTGAGATCTAATACATGGAGTCATGCAGCCCGTATGAGTGGGCGTCGTCTACAGTTTGGCGTAGCCGTGCTAGATGGACGTTTATACGTTGTAGGAGGACGTGATGGTCTTAAAACTCTCAATAGTGTAGAATGTTATGACATAGAGAGCAAGACATGGACCACGCTTCCACCAATGTCTACACACAGACATGGTTTAGGTAATTATTTTTTCATTTTCAAACTCTTATGAATGGCATTGTTGACAATAAAATATTGATTTGGTTTCTCCTATATACAATGATCACGCTTGCTAAATTTACCAATTTTGTAATCGCATGTGGTCATGGATATTGTTATGATCAGCATGTGGTTTGTCTAAAGCACTGAGAGGCCCAACTTCAAGAGACTAGCTAATTTTATAAATATATGTAAACAACTGTCATATAAAGTGGGTCCCTTGTCCCCATGGCATGGCCCTTCCTCAGAATGGGGAAGGAGGATACAGCCTGCAGATGTGGTGGGTAGCTGCAAATATATTGAGTAAGCAGTTGCAGATAGCAGACAATGGGCGGTCCTCCAGCTTGAAGGTTGGGTGTGGGCCTAACAACTCCTCACCATAAAAAAATAAGCTTCTTATGAAATGTCACTTGGGCAGATTCTTTGGCTAAATGACGTAAGCTGAAGAAAATGGACATGAAATTTCGTAGGTGGAATGCAAGAAATCTATATAAGGCAGGTTCACTTATGACAGTTGGTGAAAGAAATATTGAAATGTATGTTAGATTTAGTGTGAGGTCAGAGGAGGTCAGATGGAACAGGGGTGGCATGGAACCAGCAACCACTTTTCTGTGGAAAGGGGTATGAAAATCATGAATTAGGTACAGGTTTTTTTGTACATAAGAGAATCATATCAGCAGATAAGAGGGTAGAAATTGTTAGTAATAGGATGTTTTAGACAATACTAAGAAGTTACTGGTGTGATATTGTTCTGAATGCTCATGCCCCAGCAGGATAAAACTGACGATATGAAGGACAGCTTGTATGAGGCACTAGAACATGTATTCAATAAATTCCCTAAATACCACATGAAAATTTTGTTAGGAGATTTCAGTGCCAAAGCATGTAAGGAGGACATTTCAATCCAACAACTGGGAATGAGAGTTTGCATGAAATTAGTAATGGTAACAGAGTTAGGGTAGTAAACTTTGCCACATTGAAAAATCTGATTGTGAGAAGTACACTGTTCCCACATGGTGACATTCATAAATTTACCTGGGCATCTGATAGGAAGACAATAAAATTGGCCATATTTTGATAGATAGGAGGTAGCATTCAAGTGTACTTGATGTCTGATTATTCAGGGGAGCAGACTATGATTCTGACCACTGTTTGATGGTGGCAAAAGTTAGGGAGAGACTGGCAGTGAGTAAACAGTAATGCACAGATTTTATATGGAGAGGTTCAATCTCAAGAATGGCTGAACTCCAATGAGCTAATTAGTTATAGCATAAACTACTGTAATCATAAAGTTAACCTCTAACACATACACATGCAAAACTTATATTTTTCAGGGTACATAATTTCCTGAATATTATCCCATGAATGCTTTTCCAGTAATATGCATGTCACTTGGCTACCATAAAAGTCTAGTCTTTAAACACAATTTATCAGTTTAGGAACAAGTTACCGCTTCTCTCATGTAATCCTTTCCTCTCTTTAGGTAATGTTCTTCATAGTCTTAAAGATGAGATAGTGTTTTCTTTTTCATTAATTCCTTCCTACCCAATGGGTAGTTCTCTATAATCACATGAATGAGACACTTTTTTATGCTCACTCCTTCCCACTTTTTATACTGGCTGTTTATAGCCTAACTTTCATATACCTCTCTATTTACATATATTCATACTTAGTAATGAAGGAACATGCCCTAAGAAATTCATTAGGCATTGACTAATTAAGTCATGACATGAAATCTCAGTTGACAAATTGATGTTTATGCAGGAGGCAAATAATTTCTGCTTTCATGGATCCCAGTGGTTCATTTCCATGTCCACCAAAGTCATATCTTCAGCTAGTTGAACCCATGTGTGCTGCAGTTTGACATTTTGTTTGGCAGGGGTTGGTGTGTTAGAAGGCCCCCTATATGCTGTTGGTGGTCATGATGGTTGGAGTTACTTGAACACTGTTGAACGTTGGGACCCCCAGGCTCGACAGTGGAGCTATGTGGCACCCATGTCAACTGCGCGGTCTAGCGTAGGTGTGGCTGTGCTCAATAGCAAGTAAGTCAAGCCGTGCCTTCAGGATATCTGAAAACTTTTGGTGACATTTCACACCAAACCAGTTCAATCAAGGCTTGAATCAAACCCGGTCATGTCTGTCGCTTATGAATTTGGCAGACTCTGAATCTATATGTGTTTAATAGAAATTGGATATTTTCTTTCACAATCAACTGTGACACTCGGTTCATTCACATCTCACTGTGGTGAGTAATGGCATTGACTCAGCAAGTTTGATTTTTCCATTCAGTTCTGGTAAGTTCCTCAGTTAAAAAATTTGCCTATTATAGTGTTCAGTTTCAAGTATTCCAGGTCAAAACTAAAAAGTTTAAATCAGAGTTAAAGAATTATCTACATGCTCATTCCTTCTACTCTTTAGATGAATACTTCAATGTAAATAGAGAATGATGTAAAATTAAGTTATATTAATTTTTAAGCTAAAATTGCCTGTACTTATGTATGTAACCTTTTGACTTGTTCTGTATCCAAAGGTACTAACCTGCTTAGGATTTATAGAATGTAAATAAATTCAATTCGATAAACACAGGGTTAAATTACTTAAATTTAAGAATTTCCTCAGAGTAGTATTCATATTCATAGGTACCCAAAGAAACCTTAAGTGGCGGGGTCCCCGCTGAATTTGTAGGGTGATCAAGGAGGATGAGATAGGTGGCACATGTAGTATGCATGAAAATTGTAGTTGGAAAACCTGAAAGGAAGAGACTGCTTGGGGGATCTAGGCATACATACAGTTTTGATACATGTATTAAAATGAACCTCAACTAAATAGGATGTGAAGATGTGGACTGGATTCAACTGGTTCAGAACAGATCCATTGGCAGGCTCTTTTGAATAAGGTAATGAACTATCTAGTGCCATGAAAGACAAGGAATTTCTTAACTAACTGAACAACTATCAGCTTCTCAAGAATGATTCTGTTCTATGAAGTTAGATAATTAGTTATCTTTGGCTGTCTGTTGTTCAAAACTGGTATGTATTAACATATCAAGAACCATTCAGAGGATTAAGATGGAATGCAGTAATAAATTCACCCTTGAAATTTTATAGGTGTTCCATGGAAAACTTTGTACTTTACATGTTTCGCTTGTTTTTCAAGGTTGTATGCAGTAGGTGGACGTGATGGTGGTTCCTGTCTTAGAACTGTGGAGTGCTATGATCCTCACACCAACAAATGGCTACCATGTGCACCACTGGCCAATCAGAGAGGTGGTGTTGGTGTTGGAGTAGTCAATGGTTATTTATATGCGTTGGGAGGCCATGATGCACCAGCTTCAAATCCTTTGGCATCACGTTTTGACTCTGTTGAAAGGTTAGTCAACAATACTGGCCATCCTATCTGATGTGAAAGAGAAGGCTCAGTTTGGTCCCGCGCCCCATTCAACAATCCATGCATACGGGTATTACAACCATTTGGATAAGGAAATTGTCAGAGAGTACATTATGTCCATTTTACAGTCTGGAGTCCATGATTTTATTTCACACCATACTAATCATGCAAAATTGTTCCTTCTCACACCCTACTCCTGTAGCCACCTCCTGTAAATTTCTTGGCAAATAGCAGAATAGTAAACAGCTTGTGACTGTATCCTCCATCCTAACTCCATGGGACGAAGTCTTTTAGATCCTGATGATCACTTACCAGTCAAGAAATACCCCCACCTTTTATGGAACCCATGGGAGCCCACCACTGGACCCTATCCTCGACCATCTGGATGCAGTCCATGCTTTCACACACTAATTATTTAACACTTCGCGGACCGGACGCCTAGGCCTAGGCATTTGTGTTTTAAACGTGGCAGACCGGTCGCCTAGATTTATGCTTTTAGAACACGATAAGTTGCAACACGCTATACATCACTCTGGCACCACTTACATTGCACGCATCCGCCTACAAACGCATGATAAGACTCTGGAATGTTTAGTTAGCAGTCAGAAACTTGACCTCGCTGTTTACTTAACCGACTATAAAGGAAAATGCTTTGCCTTCTTCAAGCTGTGTGTATCAGCCAGTAGGTAGTGGGGAGAATGGATCAAGGACAAATTCTCCTCCGAAAACCTAGCTGACCTGGCTTGTCTGTGAGACGCATAGTAATGATGATTCAGAGAGCGGCAGTGAAAGGGGAGAACAAAGAATTGTGGCCACAGACAGTAAAAGTGACAGTAGCTCCGACGATAATGCAGGTAATAACGTTGCGCATAGTAACATTGCAGGAACAGTAAAAATCTAAAAAAAAATCTAGAACCTGATTCAAAACTGAAATACAAAGCATTTCTGATGAATGTGGCAAAGGCTTGGGCTACAGACCAGATGGTGGCGAAAGTATCAGAGTCAGACAGACTTTGTGCGACTTAGCCCATCAAATCACACCCCACACAGCCCTCATGTGGACACCCCTGGGAGACTCTTGGGTGATATGCGGAAACATACCCTCGTGAAAATTGTGAAGAGTGAACATTCCAAGGGGAAGCATCCTTCTAGGCAATGGCATGTTTGCACAGTTCACAAAAAAAGGAATATTAATGTCTATATTTGCACGTGTGTAATGCCACTTCATCATGGGGAGTGTTTCCAGAAATATCGCACCCTCAAGCACTTCTAGCAGCATTGGTAAGTGTTCTCCAAAAATTTTAGTTCATAAAATTAATTAGGAGATTTTATACTAATTTTTAAAGTGAACAGTGCACAAGTTAGGGTAGTAGGTATAAAAATGCCGGTCCCCTGGGTGATTTAAATATTTAAATCGTAGGTCCGCAGAGTGTTAAGGTCCTCTTTTCCCCATCTGTTCCTAAGGGCTCCCAAGTGGTCACTTTAGTTTCGTAGCAAGTGCAAATTCCTGATTTATAAATCAGCCTTTTTAAGCTGAATGTTTCATAAGTGAAACTCATAATATTCAATTTACATGCATATGGAATGTTCTGTGACATATATTTAATTTTATTGTCCCCCCCCCCCATTAGTTGCATCCTGTTGTGTGTCTCAGACAGTATATAACGTGTGGGAACTGTGCTACCGTCAACACAACAAATATTTCCGTATTACATTTGGATCTTTATTTACTGCAACATGTTTCCATCATACATGACCATCATCAGGCAGGAATGTGTATTACTTGCTTACTCACTCATGGAGCTAAGTCCTTCTGGAGAAGCCGCCAATTCTGCAGCTACTCAAGAATTTCCCAGCATTTTATAGAACCTGAAGGTTTTTTACCATGTTCACAAGAGCCCTCCACTGGTCCCTATCCTGAGCCAGATCAATCCAATCCATAACATTCCATCCTATCTCTCTAAGATCCATTTTAATATTGTCCACCTACCTACCCCTTGGTCTTCCCAGTGGTATCTTTCCTTCTGGCTTTCCCGCCAATATCCTATACGCATTCCTCGTCTCCCCCATTCATGCTACATGCCTTGCCCACCTCATCCTTGACTTGATTCTAATTATACTTGAAGGAGAGTACAAGTTATGAAGCTCATTATTGTGCAGTTTTTTCTAACCTCCTGTCACTTCATCTCTCTTCGGTCCAAATATTCTCCTCAGCACCGTGTTGTCAGACACCCTCAGTCTATGTTCCTCCATTAATGTCAGAGACCAATTTTCACACTCATGCAGAACCACAGGCAAAACTATAGTTTTGTATATTCTAATTTTTATGTTTTTGGACAGCAGACGAGAAGACAAAAGGTTCTGGACTGAATGGTAGCAAGCATTACCCGAGTACAATCTCCTCTTAATTTCCTCCTGAATCAGGTTTCAATGCGTTATCGTTGTTCCCAAATATCTGAACTGTGCCACATTTTCATAACATCTGTTTCCTATCTTTGTGTCATGATTTTGCCCTGCATTTTTGTGATGAGACAGTAACATATACTTAATTTTCTCTGTTTACTTCTAGACCAACCTCTTTACGTGCATCAATTAAAGTTTGTGTGTTTTTCTTTATGTTATCTACATTATCACCCAATAGATTCACATCATCGACATAGGGCAACAGCTGATGTGTCCTGTTTAATTCCAGTCCCACCTGGTTTCCCTGGACTTTCTTAATGGCATATTCTAAAGCAAATTTGAAAAGGAGTGGTGATAAAGCATCTCCTTGTAGGAATACTTGTAGTTATTGAAATACCGATACGGATCCTTATCAGTGGAACGCGGTATTAAATATTAATATATGATATAAACTCCGTCCTAAGTGCAAACAATGTATTATAGGTCTTTTGTCTTGCTCTCCTCCACACTACATATTTCGGCCGCAAATGGCCATCATCAGGTGTTTACACTCACATAGCTGTTACACTGCACTTAGTTTAAAATTTAAAAACACAGGTCTTCCCGATTGTTCCTTTCGTCATTATTACCAAAATCTACTTCGTTAATATCTGTCTGATTATCTTTGTTACTACACACGTCAATTTTGATTTCCCTGAATTAGCACTTATAAAATCTTCAGTTCTAATATTAAAATCCTTTAAAATTTTTCTCTGAATTTTAAAATTTAAAATTGTCAGGGTTACTCGCCCTATGTCTATAGTGCTACAGCGGCTACTTCTTGTTTCCAGCACTATACTGGTGTTATTCTGTGTAGTCTCTCCCTGTGTGCGTGCCACTGCTTATCTTTACTAGTACGTGTAAAGATAAGCAGCTGCATGCACACAGGGAGACTACACAGAATAACACCTGTACAGTGCTGGAAACAAAAAGTAGCCGCTGCAGCACTATAGAAATAGAACAAGTAACCCTGACAATTTTAAATTTTAAAATTTAGAGAAAAATTTTAAAGGATTTTAAAATTAGAACTGAAGATTTTATAAGTGCTAATTGGACATATACACGTTCGGTGTGTATGGAGTGTTCTACACTGCGGTGGTTTGACGTAGATTGTCAGAAAGAGTCAGTCTTGGGCACTGGATCATCTCTAGCTTTTCCAGCAGACCCATGAGATTATGTCCCAGTTTTCCCAAAGACAAGCAGACAGACCCTGAAATATATTTTTAGGATAAACCATAAATGACAGATAATGCCCAGGTTATTAAAATTGACTCTGATGCACTATCATCAGAAGCATTCAGAATTTTGTCTGTAATAATGTTCTTTACAATTTACATTATTGATTATGGTAAGATGTTTATTCCATCATCATTTTCACAAGACTGTGTTTTGTTTTGACAGATATGATCCTAAAACAGACACATGGACACAGGTTGCCTCGATGAGTGTAAGAAGGGATGCCATTGGTGTATGTCTTCTTGGGGATCGCTTGATTGCTGTTGGAGGTTATGATGGTCAACAGTATCTGAAGCTAGTTGAAGCATATGATGCTCAGAGCAATGAATGGCAGGAAGTAAGTAATTACAGTTGAATCCCATTTAATATTCCTTGAAGGTTTGCCCTCATTTAATTTTCAGTTTCAATCATATCAAATTAGTAATCATAGTTTTAAATTTCTTCAAAGAAACATTTTCCTCATTTCAGTATTCAAATCCATGTTCCTAAAAGAAACACTATTATGTTTTCAATGAGATTTGACGTGATTTTTTTTGCTAATGGGGTGGGACTAAGTCCATTGTACTGCAGCCACTTCTGGCCTATGGAGCAATTGGTGGAATGAAGACTGGCAGGGGAAATCGAAGTACTCAGAGAAAACCTGCCCCAGCGCCACTTTGTCCACCACAGATCCCAATCGATCAGACCCAGGATTGAACCCAGGCCGCCACGGTGGGAAGCCAGCGACTAACTGCTTGAGCTATGGCGCGGCCTCATTTGACATGATGGATATGCATACAACTTGAGATAGCTGCTGAGTTGTAAGATGGCGACAAAGTCCGAACACGTATACACTCATGACTACATCTGTGCATGTATGAGTGTGATCTAATGATTTTTTTCTATGAATTAGGGACTAAACATTTCAGTGTACAGAGTTACATGAAGTATGAAAGGGCTAAGATTATGGTCATCTAGGATGCTGTATAGTTGGGAAGATAAGTACCAGTGTTTCAGGGAAACCTGCTGTCTCCAGCTTGACCCTTCTACCATGAAGGTGGAAGCAGCAGATCCTTCCGAAACATGGGTGTCTGTTTACCAAACTACATAATGTCACATCCGAGAAGATCATAATCTCAGTTCTGAGAGAACCTCAGATTTTGCTTTACAAAAGGACGTTTCCAACAGGATTGTTTAGTTGAATTTTTTAGCTACTCTGTGTGAAATATCTTTTGTGAAAGTATTCCTAGAATAGGAGAATGCCCACTTAATTGTTTTCGATTTAAAGTTTACCCACAATTAATGTTTTATTTCGATGATCCAAAGTCAGTAATGTCAGTATTAAATTTTCTGCATTTAAGATTTTCCTTAGTTTAGTGTCTATATCCAGTATTTTTTAAAGAAGCATTAATTCTTATATTGTCACATAACAGTCAACATGGAATGGAACCATTAGTGTGAAACTAAAATTTTATTACATGCACATTTAAAATTAAATTAATTACAATTAGTTACCTTTGCTTACCATACTCTATACTGTACATAATTAGGTATATCCATGAACAATATGTTTTAGAGCAAGTAACACCCATGTTAAGCGGCCTCCGTAGTCTATAGGTAACGTTCCCACCTCATGACTCGTAGTACGCGGGTTCAAAAACCCGGTGGAGGTCGTCGAATTTTTAAGGGCAGAAAAATTCAGGGAACAAGTCCTCTGGGAGGGACTCTAAGCCATGGGTCCCATGTCGTAGCTTTACAGCACGTAAAAAGAACCTCATATCTCCAAAGGAGGTCAGTCAACCAAATTAACGGACTTTCCCGCCCAACAGCAGTCTCTAATACCTCTGGTAGATGGGGGAAGCATTATAGATACTTCTCAGCCAGTAGAGCCGGTCTCGCTGGCTGGGCGGGACTGATGGTAAGCACCAATACCGGTAGGATATAGAGGCTGGTAGAAATCATAGAGGGAAGCACAATGGACCACTACAGGTCTAAGTGCATGGGGAAACCCACCCTCTCTAATAACTAACTAACACCCACGTTTATGTTACTAGCATGTAGCTTTTCACTCTTCTTTAAAACAAGAATGTTAGTGACAAGTTAGAGACTTTATTATGTGCTTTAAGATTATGGTCTGGGATGTGATGCCTTATAGTTTGATAGATCAGTATCGAATGTTTAAGAGGATCATGCCATGATTGTTGTCATGGCACATCCTGAAGACTGTAATCTTGATACTTAGTCCAGTGAGGACCTCAGATCTCACGTATTGTGTGCTTATTTCTTCAGATAGCTCCACTTAATACAGGAAGAGCTGGAGCATGTATTGTTGTAATCAAGAATCCACAGCCTTGATCATCCCAGTTCAAGGTCTGCAGTGGAGCATACATCATTGTGACTACAGAACCTGCAGCAGTATGCTTACACCATATCAGTTATAAGTTAATAAGATACTGTATTTTTATGCCCTTCTTCCACAGGCAACTATATATTCCATTAATGAGATTTTATTACTTATTAAAATGTGATAAAATGTGGGAGGGAGGTTTGTGGTACCTCTCTTCAGTCATGTTTAACCCCCACATGCATTTAGCAAATCACACATGTCAGTACTAAATTAAATGCAAAAGTTTAATATGGATTCCTGTATTTGAAATAGTTTGGTGGCTTTCAAACTGTCTGTAAAAATGAGTGAAAATTATTTATTTGCTTCAAGGGTCAATATTCTGAAAACACTTCTAACTGTAGGCTTGTAGTCAAGAGTGTTAAATTAGGGAATTTGCTGCAGATTTCATTCCAGAGTGCTTTTTCAGTGAAGCTCTCATTGTCCAGTATCTGTCATTCCTGAAGTTCCCTAATTTTTTACATTTGTGGTTATATTTGATGAAAATACGGCACCATTATAGTGTGTATCATGGAGTTTATACAGAAAATAATGTTTATTTCTTGTTTCAAAATATTTAGTTTGTACAATGATTTTAAATCAGGAATAAGTTTTTATTTTCTATTACTTTCAATTTCCTATTGATTTCTAGTAGACATGTGTATATGCTGATCTGTCAAAATCTGAATTGATTTCCATCACTAATTTTGTTGTTGTTGATTCAGTTCATTTGTTACTTGTTGCATATCTTCTAGTAATGACCTTGTTGCAGAATATTAGGTCAAGTTAGTTAACCACCTGCATTTGATATAAAACTATTTCAGATCAGAATATATTTATTCTTTCAGTTTTATAGACACAGTGATGATTACACAAGTGTTTAAGTATATGTGTCAGTAATCAGGTACCTACTTTTCTCTGGCTTTTAATATATTGAGAGCAGTGTTATTTTCTAAGGGCACACAGTAGCATAGTTGGTTGAAGCACTCTGTTACAAGCCAGAAGGTCGTAGGTTCAATTCCCAATGAGGTAATTGAATTTTTTCACTTGACCTAATCCTTCCAGCCACAGTATGGCCCTGGGGTCAACCTAGCGTCTAACAGAAATTAGTACCAGGAAGATTCCTTGTGGGGTAAAGGGTGTCGTGCATGTAAGGCTGACAACCTTACCGCCATCTGTGAACCGAGTGTCTAGAAGATGTGGGAGCCTCGATCTCTCGCACCCCACAGCCTGTTACAGGGACAGCTTTACCTTTGCCATTATTTTCCATACCACATTCAGAAATGTTCCTTTAATTTGGAGCTGCTGTCACATTTTGGTCTCTGTGTGAGTATTTTCATTTGTATATTATTGTACTGGAGCCCATCCTATAGCTGTATTGATGGCTGATAACTTGAAAAGCTCTTTCATGTTCATGTCATCTTGCTATGAAACTAGAAAGAAAGTATGCAAGAAATTTTGCAATTTGACATATAATGGAGGGGAAAATAGAAGGAAAATATGAATTTAATTTTTAGAGAAATCATACTTCAGAGTTATTATTCAAATTTAGTTTTGTGTTAAAGAAATATTTTTACCATTTATATATATAGGATTTAGGTTTAAAGAGATTGCTTTTTGCAGACCCATATGCATGCGAACATTTTTTTGTTGTTCCGATGCCCCTACATTCATGCCAGACCATTAAATTTCATCCTGTATATGTTCTATTGATAGTGTGCAGAAGAATCTGTGCAGTGCTTGCTGTATAGGTCACAAAATAACACATTTTAAGTGTTCTTTACACATTAAAAAAAGAACATATATGGAGGTCATGTCTGTCCATCCAGCTGTACCTAGTACCAGTTTTTAAATCACTGGACAATTTTTTAATTTGTCATTGGAGACTTCCATTAAAGTTTTCTTTTTTTGGAAATTCCAGTTTTCAGCCTTATAGATACATAGCAAAGCCTACTTTGCATAAGTTCCTAAATTAACTTTTTCATCTGTATCATAGTCTTCAGTTTTAGGTGAAATTTGATACAAGATCGGTGTATAACATATCAGCCATCTTGATTTTTGGCCTTATTCACTGATTCCAAAGTCTGTATTATATAAGGTCATAAATGAGCATTTTTGTGTTTATCATCAACTGTTAGTCAGCGATTTTTGTTTTAATTTATCTAGTACATTTTGTGTTTTGCTGATATGTCATTTCTAAACCAGCTGCAGGTAAGGAAGTGCAAAGAATTATGTGGGGAATTTTGTGGACAATATTATGGAGCATCTTCTTTCCAAGATAATAGCATCCGTAGAAGAGACTGGGAATTTAAACCATGGGCTGCTAATGTTTACATTTTTCATAACAAACACCATATGCAGCTTTGTTACATCTCTAAACAAATTATAATTTTTAAAAGTAACGCAAGTTATTTCAGAGTAATTTATTTTTTGCTTGAAATGTTGGTTTAAATATTATGGATTTCAAACAATTTTATTTTTATATTGGTTGTATCACTGTTAATCTATATTCAGTAATCTCTTAAGTTATCCAGATTGCATGGGGATGGGGTGTACCAGTTACATGACTATCAGTTGGGTGTAAAAACTCGTACAGAAATCCACTACAAAGTCAAAACATGTTTTTGCTTTAGTTCTTATGTGAGAGTGATCCTAGGTGACATAGTGGATAGATGGGCAAAAAATTTGAGATATACTGTAATATGGTAACAAATTCACTTAGCCTGTACTGTAATGGTACCTGCGTGAGGGAGAACAATGGGGATGCTGCTAGTGGTAGCTGGTAGAAATAGTGCTTGACAGGTGAACATACATACTTTGCACATTTGTTTTTCAAGTAACTTTATAAATAAAACCAGTAAGTTTTTCTCTGAAATTTTTGCTGGTTTAGGTGCTTAGTTAATTCCTGTTGATCCTTAGGAGCATAGGGCATCTGTGAAATGCTTCCACCGGATCTTATCAACAGCAATTCTTTTAACCTCGTGCCATGTCTTCCTCACTTCTATGGCTTCCTTGACCGCCATCTTCCACGTCTTTTCAGGATGGCGCCCCCTGGCAGTTCCAGTTAGTGCCAACTTCTCTGTATATTGATTTGTCACTGTAGTATCGAAAGATGTTGTAAATGCATTCTTCTTTGGTTTAATTGTGCAGCTTATTTCAAATTACTGTTGACAGATGTAAGGAACTCTTAAAAGGAATATTGCTACTGGATTTTGTATGCTATGGTACTCAGCAAACACTGCTTTAAAAAAAAAATGTTATAATGTAACCCCTACATGTTAGAAGTGCACTAAATATTAAATGTTTTCTCCAATTGGAAATGAGAAAGTAAAAACTTTTAGTAAAATAAAGATAGACATAGTTTCAGAATGATGAAAATGGTGTGAAGTTTTGTATTTTTATAAATGATTTGTTTTATCTAAAGTAATAAGTTGGTTTCAGAGAAAACCTACTGGTACAGGCACTTCTCAGTTTATACAACAGTTTTGCTCCAAAAAAAAAAAAAAGAAGAAGCAAGCATAGCAGAAATCACATAGATTGGATCAGCTGAGACAAATTTCCCTCCTTTTTTCACATTCCCCCTCCACCACCCATACACAGCTATCTACCCACCTCTCTCAATTGACCAGCAAGCAGTTCACATTAAATCAAATGCTGTTAACTGAAATTTGTCTAAATTAGCAAAGTGCATTAAAACGAAATCACATTTTTTTTTAACTCACGTATATCGAGGAGTACCTGTATGTAAAATCCAACTCAGTTTACCATATATGAGGGTCATCCCATGTAGTGGTGTTCAGTTAATACCTGTGTCAAAATGAGAAATAGAACTGCCAGTATATGCTCAAATACAAAGCATTATGTAATTTTAAATTTAACTGATATATATGCATCATAAACAATACTTAAATTTAAACAGTCTCATTCAGTATTACACTCTGGATTGTAGTATTTACTTAAAAATGTGAACGTTCTAATATGCAGGGAGTACTGAACTGTATTATATATCTGCTTGTAAAATAGGTGATATTTTTAATCATGTAGATTAATCTTCTTAAATATTTTGAAAAAAATACCAGTGTGGAACTGTTATTGTTTGTAAGCCTACTGTATTATGTAATGTACAACTAACTTTAGGGAGCTGAGACCTTAGATGCCGCCAGTTGTGCAGCTACTCAAGATTACATAATGTACATGATATGGTTGTTCTACTTTAAAAGGCACATTACTTGGTATGTCAACTGTGAATGACAGGTATGCTAAATCTACATATAAAACTGTAAGGCTTGTGGGATAGCATTCTGACCTTTCACTCTGTCTTGTCAGGCTTTGTTATTAATATACAGTGGGTTAAAAATGATGATAAAACCAGGAGTATGTTGTGAACTTCAATTATTATTATTATTATTATTATACCGTTGTTAGAAGCACTTGAGATACTGCACCACTCACACTACTAGACTGCTGAATGCATTTAGAAAGCAGCTCATTTATGTTTTTTATATATATTTTTTAATGTTTTATATTTACCTTAATTAAAAAAATTCAACTAGCACAGAGAGATTCACATTCTCAGAAGAGGCAAGAGAGAAGGAAAGATGCTTAAATGAATTGCCCGGTGACACATTTTGATGGAAGTTATTTATTTGTATTTAAAAAACTTTGTAAATTAAAAAATGTGAAGCCAATTAGACTTGTGATAATCAGACCACTGTCATCTTATTCCCCTGCATTAAAAATGAAGCTTCTACAAAAATTATGGGAATTACTGGGTTTTTGGACTTGCAGTGTTTACAAATGCCTCTTCAAGAGAACAGCAGTGTAATTGCCAGTGTACAAAGCAGACATTCTTCAGGACAACCCAGAAACATTCTGACATATAACAACTCATGTTTTTTGTGACATTCTTTAGTGTATTTCTCTTTGACAAGAAAGCAGCAACACACATGGAATGTAAGAAAATAACCCTTCAGATCATGCTGGAGGATTTTGTAGCGCATTTCTTGGATGTTTGAGGAGGAGGAGAGGTATATTGAGTGACCAATTTTGTCAGATGAAGCTTATGTTAAGCTTACATGTTTAGGCAGCAAGCAGTCCAGAAGTCATACCAACAGCCTTTGCAGAAAGACTTATACCGTTTGTTTTGCTGCAGTCATTGGACTCTAATTGTTTTCTCTTCCATTGATTCATTTGGTAGTGACATGTGAGAAATAGCAAGAAATAATAGCATTTTTCTTACTCAGAAACTAAGGACATTGGAACTGATAATCAAACCTATATCCAAGAAGATGGGGAAAGTGTCCTTACTGTTCCTGCAACATGGTCACTCCTGAAGGGTCTCTTTTTGTCATCTGATTTCATGACCTGGATATGTCATTTGGTCGATGATAGGCCCATGTTTAACATAAACCAATTTATTCATTCATCTACTAGACACGACCAAGGAGCAATCAAAATGTATGTAGGCAAATTTAACAGGAAATAGCCCACAATCCACTTGAAAGTGATGTGTAAGATAGTATGTGGGAATCAGGCTGTGTATGTAAAAACGGCCACTTAAGACAGGTGTTTTTCTGTCTTGAAGCTGCTGTTTTCTTTAATATTTTCATCTGTTAAACTGAAACATTAAATATGAATGTGTTAAATATTTCTTGCTCAGACTGTATTTGCATGGCAGTGAAGATGTACAGTGTAACCTGAGCCATGCATTTTGTCCAGTCAGTTCTCTGGAGGGCAACACTGTATCCATATTTGCAAAATACGTTATGTTCTGTGAAGTAGACTTCTCTTTATAGTGAGTTGCCTGAATATTCTTTTAATATACACAAAAGGAACTGAAAATTAAAAATAAGATGTGTCTAATAAGCATCATATTCTAAATTCTTCAAAGCGAGGTGGTGTACAAATATTGGGATTGTAGGAAAAACAGCAAGATTTTTTTTTTTGAGCAGCAATCGGAAAAAAGGCAGTTGCATGACTACTACTGCATGGTCCCTAGAATGAATGAAGCCCTATTGCACATTTGTTCATTTTAATTTACTTCAACTTGTATTTATTTTTCAGATTTTCTAATTGTGTTTGTTAATTGTTGCTTAATTGTATGAATTCAGTTAGTTCTAGAAAGATGCAAGGTGATGGTTTTGGTTGGGTAATGATTTTCTTGCAAACGTTATAATCAACATAGCACTAATTGAAGACCAATAAAGAGATAGTTTTTGTATGTAAATGGCTACATTTCTTCTTTAATACCAACGCACTGTATTGACCAAGTTTAAACACCAGTAGAGCCTAAAAATTTTAATTATGCCATGTTTGGAAGATGCCTGAAAATATATATAGTGTACAAACTTGAAATAATAATGTACAGTATCTCTGTAGTTTCTATCTCATATGCTACTGAATAGTTATAACATTCATTTACAAAAACTAATGACTTGAAAATGAGAGTTGTAATATTCAAAACAAACGGTTTGTTATATCATCTTTCTCTTTAATTAAAGTGTTTGGAATCTTGGCACGTGCCAGAAATATGCTGTAGACAACTGTCATAATAGATTCTAAAGGGTTCTGATGATGGTGGATAACACACAGAATTACTGGGTTTTAGGGCTTTTTCCATCGTCCGGAATTCCAGGAAACAGAAAATATGACGTTTTGGAAACGATTGGCCAGTGACAGATTAACTGTTTCTAAGAGGCCTAGCTGAGTAGGTGTCTTCCTTCCTCACCTGAAGACGGAAATAGATCCGGTTTCCGAAATATTCCGGCCGATGGAAAAAGTCCAAAAACCCAGTAATTTTGTGACCTGTCATAAATCTTCATCTCTTGATCCTTCCTTGCTACTGCTCCGTAATAATTGAGCCTACTTCCATCCTAAATTGTTAAACGTTATCAACATGTCAGTATTAAAAGAATTGCATTTGCTAAGCTGTTTGTATCCAGTCCATGAATTTGATCACTCAGATTATTATTTTCCATTCCATTTATAACACTTTCTCTTGTTTTCACTGTTATATAGAAGGACGCCTTGGGAAGAATCTGAGACTATGCTCCCCTGCATAGAGAGGGTGTAACAGAAATTATAAAATTTTGTGATCTGTTTGTATGCATAATTTCAGCTATTACAAATTTATGTTGCAAAGCCCGTCAGGCATGATATAGTTTCACATCTTTGTCATGTATATCCTGTTTCCCTAGCCCGGCCCACCTTGATTAGTTGGTAAGGACACGCGCACACTCACGATCGCCAACAACAGCTAAGCTATCTTTAGTTACGAAACAAAGAGAGTATGTTAATGACCGTTTCAGCCAAAGTGGAGTAATTGAAAAGGGAAACGAGGATATAGACGAACAGACCGAAAGCAATAGACCTGTGGGAACCTATTACAAAAACAATTGAAACCAATTTGACTCTGTAGAAAATACCGCCGGTCCTGAGGCAGGATACTTAGGGGTGACCTGCTTTATCATGTTGATATGCGAGCAACAGTTTTGATTAAACGTTGCATATGCACGGGCAATCATATAACCATGATGCGATGCATTGCATAAATTAAAGATTACAAATAAACCGAAGATGTGGGGAGTACACAACTAGGTGTCTCTAGCTACAAGAACTGCCTTCTCTAAGAAGCGCATGTGACGGCAGTTCAGCAGCAGTTGTGGAAATAGTGCAGCGATAGTTGACCTGGTGTTTTTGGCTCAGAACGCTACTTTTGAGAATTTTGGCTTGTTGCCTGGTTTGTGTGTGTTGGGTAGGCTCAAGGGGCGCGGCTACAACTGACGGTAGTGGTAGAATAAGTAGGAAGTCAACGACGACGTAGTTTTAACGAAGTGATGGGGAAGAACGAAGAATTACCATGGGATCTGTTTGATCGTTGCCTTCTTCCCGTCATATTTTCACACGCTGCAGCAGTTATTCTCTCAACAATCCTAAACAGCCTCTATATCTCCCAAGTTTCAACTTTCACACTTTTCCTCTGGTTTGTCGTCTCCAGCCTGGGTGCAGTTTTCTTCTATCATAATCTCAAGGTAAAACAACTACAAATATAGTTTTGTCACAATTTCGTACCGATCATTCATATTTTAGCTCAGAATAACAATTATAATAACATTAATGGTGATGTGGGTGATTATGACATAAATTACGAATAGTGATAAGTAAAGGTTTAGTTTCGTCTTTGGCCAACACCATGTTAAGAAGGCTTACACTCTACATGAGTGACTCTTAAACGATGGGATTTGACGGTCAGCTGGGTGCGACGAGGTCTCAGAAATAATATCCTCTCTCCTAACGGCGTCGCAACCCAGAAAAACCTTCTTCATGGTCGCCGTCATAAGAAACTCATATTGAACACAATTAAGTTATACAAAATTTACTTCTGCAGAAAGTTCCCTGCGTTCTAAACACGAACTTTTCAAGTCTAATCGTATTTGTGCCAACAGCAATAATGTTTTATATAATTATATTAATAAAGCTTGTTATCAAACTGTTAAAATATTTAAGTCATTAAGAAATTCCATCCATGATTAACGTAATACTAAAATCTACAAAATTTAAGAATACATTACTTTGGTAAAGAGAAGATTTGTTTTTACTGTGGTAGGACAGTGTTTTTTTGTTCTGATCAAATTGGCCTGTGGCAGGCAAAATGTTTTGGTAGCGAATCATTGTTGTACACTCCGGTACGATGTGGAAGTGAGCTGTCAGCTTCATACTCAGGCAATTTTACTTCCGTGGAAGAAATCATCGGTGCCTAGGAGCATGGAAGTGTTCTATAATGTGCTCGAAAACCTGACTACAAAAATCTTTGCTTCTGTCAGGAATTGACCTTCAATGACCCACCTCAGAGACAGCTGTGTACATACTCCTTTTCGTAAACTTTTGTGAGATATTTGCATTGAAAATGATTTATAAAAGTAAATGCGCAAATGATATTAATGGACCATAACGTAATTTAATGTTGGCGTTTGAATTCACCAAACGATGGAAGAAAAATGTCGGAATATAGAACACATTCTTATTCGTTTTGTATGTTGAAGGTCAGACTTAAAATATTACTGACCTGCTCAGACGCCGTATTTCGCGGCCTTTAAATTTCACTGCATTCGTGGATTTATCTATGTTCATTCATTATTAAATCTAGTTAGAAAGTACAATAAACTTATAATCGCGATTTATCATACTTATATGAAGTTATGTAAAGTCTGTTAATCTTCCGTTTTATCTGTTTTATTATTTACAGAAAAATAAAATAAACCAGTGTTGAACTAACCATATCTGAAGATGTCTTTGAACTCCGTTGATAGTTTTTTGACAACTGAAAATGTACATCCTTCATTTTGTATATTTAACTATGTCGCACTTCGTGCATGCCTGTAGTTCTGTATGGGTGTGAAACTTGGTCTCTGACATTAAGGGAGAAACATATATTGAGGGTGTTTGAGAACAGGGTGTTGAGGAGAATATTTGGACTGAAGAGAGATGAAGTGACAGGAGGTTGGAGAAAACTGCATAATGAGGAGCTTCATAACTTGTACTCTTCTACGAGTATAATTAGAATGATCAAGTCAAGGAAGATGTGGTGGGCAGGGCATGTAGCACAAATGGGGAGAAGAGGAATGCATATAGGATATTGGCGGGAAAGCCAGGAGGAAAGAGACCACTGGGAAGACCAATGCGTAGGTGAGTGGACAATATTAAAATGGATCTTAAATAGGATTGCATGGATTGGATTGATCTGGCTCAGGATAGGGACTTGGGGGGGCTCTCCTGTGACCACGGTAATGAACCTTCGGGTTCCATAAAATGCTGGGGAATTTTTGAGTAGCAGAATTGGCGGCTCCTCAAGAAGGGCTCAGCTCAATGAGTAATTAAGTAGGTTAAACTTTATGCAATGCTAATGTTAAGATACGCCGTTAAATTCCTCCTCTCCCCTCTTTTTCATTATTTGTATTTAATGGGACAGTATTGCGATAATCTTAAATTATGACTCGAAGCGGAAGACGTCAGGCGATATCCTGTTTTAAGCTGCTGTTTCGGAATTAATCTGTAATAAACTGGAAGAAAATTCCGAGTTAAGACGGTACAGACACTCCTGCAGTTCAGATAGTGATTGGTAGGTTATTTAGCGATTGTGTTTCAGTTGCATACTTAATCGTATATGCCTATGGCGTCAGATGAGATGGTCAAATACATATTTGGTCATGAAATCTAATGAGGTGATAGTGATCATTTTCAAAGTACTATGCAGACATTTGATTGGAGGGACTGAGTAAAGCCACGAAAACCATCATAATAGCCGACAGATAACAAAGATATGCCCTGAATACAGAACTATTACAACAACATGCCCGGTACCCCCATAGAGTACATCCGATTAATACTTGGTTGGTTCATCAACTGCATTGTTTATGCAACACTGAATGATATAATAGTTATGTATCAGCTAGGAAAGAAACAATCTTGGTTCGTTTACGCTCCGACCGCTTTGCTCCAAGGGGACATTATCTCGGTTGGGCGAGCTACAGAGCCGATCTGGATAAAGTGACGAAGGAAACATTGTGGACCCTGGCCGGGAATCGAATCCAAATCGTCTAGCACATATCCATCCATTTCCGCAATTTGGGTAATGATAATAAACAAATAAGTAGAGTAGAATATAGTAAAACACGTCGTGTTTACGTTCTATTTTTAAGAGAAACAGTATTCTATTTAAAAACCCCGTTGAATATTGTTGCACTGTAAACTCTGAACACATGGAGTAGAATTAGAGGACACTAATTTTAGTTGTGACCTGAATCTACTTGAGTTGCCAAATTATCGTGACCACTGGCATATTTTCCTATTAATAGTATGGAAGTCATACAGGCTCTGTATCAAATATATTGAGCATATTTAGAGCTACATTCAAGTGACCAGTCACTGTGTTACTGATTGGAATAGTTCCACACAGCAGAATGTCCAAGCGTGACGTTTTGAAGATCAGTGACTTGACAATATCAAATCAGATTATAGTGTTATCCTCTTTCATTCGCGACATTTTTTTCTGGGCTACTGACAGATATAGATTTAGGTCTTCTATATATTTATTTAATTTTAGTTTATTTAAAAACGCTACCACCACTTCAGACTAGATAGCATCAGAAGATTCGATGACAGTGGTAATTTAAAAATGATGTGGAAGAAAGCGGTCACTGCCTTATTTTAAATATCCTGACATTTGCCTGGAAAGAATGAGGGAAAACACGAAATGATATCAATTAATGGGGGATCAATATTTCGGCCGAGACCTTTTATTGGGCTATTTTTTATCGTTCGATCAGTCCATAAGTTAAGGCAGCTAAACATCAGCTTCTCGTCCCGGAATTCCAAATTCAATTGCAGGCCAGTTCATGAGGGGTTTGTGATGGACAAAATGATACTTGGTCATGTTTATCTCGACGTACTTCGTCCCCCCCCAATAAATCAGTCTACGACAGACAATATGTCACATCTTAGATCCTCAGGATTTCATCTGCGACCCGGTATTTAGCTGGACTCAGAGCAAATAAGTTAATTGTTAGGCCGCGCCCTAGCTCAAGCGGTTAGTCGCTAGTTTCCCACCGCGGCGGCCCGGTTTCGATCCCGGGTCTGGTCAAGTGGAATTTGTGGTGGACAAAATGGCGCTGGGGCGGGTTTTCTCCTAGTACTTCGATTTCCCCTGCCAATCTTCATTCCACCAAATTCTCCATCATCATAATCACTCGGGGCAGACTACAATAGGCAATAGACATGTTCCTCTTCCCAACTAACGGAATATCTTGTAAAAAAAATGAAAAATAAGCGAAAAATAACGCACAGAATTCGCGCCGTCAGGTCACACTGTGGAGACCACTAATTCGAATTCTCAAATCGACTTTCCTCACAGAATCCTTCGTGAACTATCTTAATCTTCTCAGGCAAAGAATGCAGAATACCTTTAAATTCGACAATGCGCTTCTTTCATCATTATTGCTAATCTTGCATAAAATTAGTCACCGCTATACTGAATGCTCTTCGTAAGAGTCACTTGCTGCTACGTATCCCTGCATGTGGTGGGTGGGTCATGAACAAGGACTGACGTTTCTTGATCCTCCAAATAAACATCCAGAATTAGATACAATTCTCACGGATCGTCCAGTATACAATTCATCTTAACGACAAAGAAGTTCAGGAAGGCGTGTCAAAACTATGAGTACTTAAAATAATATCGTTTCACTTCACAAGGTCGTTTCATATAATCGAAAGCACTTATTAATAGTTCCCCGTCAGTCTGTCTGTCCAGATTTATACACCAGGCGCTTTCTTCAGACACGTTAAGAGGACTCTTCCTTCTTAGCACTTAGATGTGAATGAATCCTCATAGACTATAATTCTAGCATCTTTATCAAAAACATCAACATTTCGTGCCAGACATATTTCTTTGCAAATCTGTGTTGAGTTATATAAATAGAAGAATATGAGACAAGATCAGTCTAGTATTTCTGGCAACAAATTGGTTTAGTAGTAGTAGTATTTGTGGTCGCTGTTTTATTTCAGTAATTTCGATTGTTTCACGCATTCATTGTTCAACTCCTCCTCACATACCCGCAAGATTCTAAGGACGTGACAGTTCTGTGTTTCTGTTTCAGACTAATCAATAATTTAAATAAATATAAACGCATTGCCTTTTTAAATCTTAATGTTTGCGTCCTCTTGACCGACAGTGTTTTAGCTTCTGATTTCGGCTCGTCATAATATCTGCTCGGTGTTTTTAGTTGTTTTAGTCGTCAAAAAAACAGGCTAATTTTGTTTCTTTATGGCCTTCTCCAGGGCCGGTGAGAAATTAGAGGCGAATCGAGCGTCCCCCTAGAGCGGCACGATTTTAGGGACGGCCAATTTTTCAAATCCTTTTCCTTCATTTTCGTATTTTGGTTATTTCGTGACTCTTGATCGGTAGTAATCTAAACGGATCATAAAAATGTATGTAAAATCGTTTTTAGTTTCTGAGAATTAACGACGCTAGTGACGGATTTCGTCATAGTGTCTGGAAGTTAATTATGAAATTCTGAGGATTTTTATCGGTTTTCAGCTGGAGAGGGTGATAACTTTTCTTTTCCTGGATCAGTTTCAGGCAAGCCGTCTCTGTGTTATAAGGGTAACGCGGAACTCGAATGAACTAGACCGTCGTTGAGACAAGGGATCGACAAGCCGCTATTACAAAGACCGTTTTGTCAGAAATACGCATCTTCTGCACTTGTTGCTTCTTTGTGTGGTATGGAAACCCCGCAACGATTCAGAAATATATTTAATACTCCTAATGACAGAAACTGACGTTGAAGGAATGTATGTTTAATCTTGATGAATGGATCTGTTCAACATCAGACATATTATTATGAAAATAATATTCTAGCTGCTACTTCGAGGACCCGTGAGAAAGGCCCGTAGTTGAATAAACTAGTACAGACTGTATCAGAAAGTGAAGACTGGGTCACAACAATGAGGGAACTGCCCGGCAATTCACTTCTTCTAAGGCGCAGGACCTAGTGCTCGCTCATTTCTTGCTACGTCTAGGGGCAATCCAGTGTAACAAGGCATATTTTTCCTTAGCGATGCACCAGATTAAAGACATACACTCAGAAAATCCTGTAAAATATATCTAAAGATTTGATTCTGTGACAAATTTTGTATTCTTCGCGACATGTGAAGGCATCCCTGACCAAAGGCTGCAGGAGTGAAATCATGTAGGTGTTGTGGAGGTAAGGCGCCACACTTTCCAGACCTCAACAGTAGAAATGACAGATGGAATTCAAGCTTCAACTACTTTGCGTCCAATATAGCCTAATGCATTTATCTACAAATTGTACGGGATGGATGCCCCGAGTTCAATTCCCAGCAGAAGCAAGTGGGTTTTCTCTACTCCACAGCGTCCACACAAGCTCTGGGACCCACCCAGTCTTCTCTCGAATGGGTACCATGGGCTCTTTCCCCGGGGTCAAGGGGGCCGGGGCATGAAGCTTGCCCCCTTTCTTCCATCCAGCGCCAAGGTCAAGAGATGGAGCTAAACTTCCACTCCCCCATACATCTTCATGGCATGGTTCTTAATTAATTAAGCATAGGGACTACTTTACTTTTACCTTTTTTCTGTATATATATTAGTGACAAAACCTAATTAGGTCAATATAATAATTGTTTAACTTTTCATATAACACCATGTTTCAATCAGTTTCCTAATTTTAGTATCTGGAATATGGAAAAATTTCCATCTACCAGTCTCAATTACATTTTTATTTATCTAATTTTTCTGTGAATGAGTAACAATTCTTATGACCCATAAGTATAAGAAATCCAAATATAAGTCTTATTAACTATTGGAATTATTTAGATGGTAGTGCTCTGGGTTATGACACCTTCTAGACTTGTAGGCAGATACCAATATTTCAGAGGACTCTGCTGCCCCCACCTTTCCAACCTTAAGATGGAGACAGTAAGTTCCTCCAAAACGCTGGTATCAACCCAGAATACCACAGACTAAACTCTCACTGCTGTGAAAACATCAAGTCCCACATATTGGTCAATCTAAAGTAATCAAGAATACATTATCATTGTCTCTGAAGTGTCTGAAAGCTACATTCAAAATCAGTGTTTGTACTGCCTGTCTATTTAATGCAAAAATATTCCTCCTTGACTTTATAGGTAACTGCAGCCGGCAAAACAGTTTTAATAACCGACTGTACCTCAAAAATTGGGTATGCAGCTGCTCGCCAATTGGATGATCTGGTAAGTTAGGAACTTAAATACAAATTATATTATCCAGAAAAGAATAAATGACTATACGAGGTATCATGTTGGTTCTAAATCTTAATTACATACAACATGAGTTCATAACATTATATGTCAAATGGTTGTGAGCTGTAGAACCATCAGTCCACACAAACATTGTATTTCCACCATTGGCACACTTTTGTCATTCTGACTATAACTAACAGTATGGAATGGCCGCTCCATAGTTAGTCGCTGGCTTCCCACCGCAGCAGCCCGGTTCTAGTCAAGTGGGATTTGTGGTGGACAAAGTGGAGCTGGGGTAGGTTTTCTCTGAGTACTTCGGTTTCCCCTACCAGTCTTCATTCCACCAAATTCTCCATCATCATAATCACCTGGGGCAGGTACAATAGGCCAATCAGTGGTTGCAATGCCAAATGGAACCAACTGGACACAACCCCTCACTATGCGAATTAAAAATTAACAGTATGGAAACAATAAATTTTGTAGGTGTGAAATTGACTTCATTGTACTTTTCAGAATTGAAAATATGCACTGATTTTTCCTTATAAATGATTTATTTTTCCTAAACACCTTGCAGCATAACCAACTGCAGAATATACATGTTGCCAACTAAAGATTTAAATTTACCTCATGAATGTTCAATTGTCCCAAATTAGGAAACACATAATTGTTTTCTATATGGTCTGTAAGCTAATATATGGGCACTCCAATGAATGACAAGTTGTTAAGTTTTGATAAACAAGGTGTATGAACCAAGCGAGAAATGCCTACTTGCAAGATCAGGAAGTATATGGGGACAATAATGTAAATTGCCCTTAGGAAGACAGGTAATGAGGGTGGGAGGTGGAACGAGGTAGCTCAGGATCATGTACATTGCTGGTCTTTGGTATTAATGACATTGAATCTTTGGGTTTTACTATAGTAGTGTCAGTTTAGTTCTTCCCAGCAAAAATTATTGTTTAAAATATTTCAGTCTTGTTACAATTCATTCAATTATATAATTACCAAAAATACACCAAATATACTGTATAGATATGTGTTTGATATGGAAGAGAGGAATACAGCAGGTTCTGACTCATCCAACTAAAATCAACACAAATGCACCTGTTCTGCTGTAGTGAATTTTCCATTGTTACACAATGTTTTTTTTTTCTGCTAAAAATTTATTTGTAGTTGCGATGGAATGGATTACTCAAAGAAATGCAAAAACCAAATACAGTTTTGTCATTGCAGGTTATCCATTTTGGATAAGGTGATTTTGCCATTATGGAGAACTTTGCCATATATAACCTGTATAGCAGAACTGATTACATTTGGGACAGATGGAACACCACAACTAACCAATATTTTCCTGAGACTAGCATTCAATACAAAATTTGACTGAAAGGACTAGTAATAGTTCACCAACTTTTGGATAAGGAAAAGACTAGGAAAAGAAACCAGTTCAAAAATGTTGATGTGATGATGATGAAGACAGTGACGATATAATGTCCATGATTTATTTTATCCGTCTTCTAGTGCATACATTCATCTATCCCCTCTTCTCACTCTCACTACATGTTTCGGCACAAATGTGCCATCTTCAGGTGCTGATCCAATCCACGACAAACTAGTTCATTGCATGCCTTGTCTATACATACTAAAACATACATACATGAGAGTGAGAACAGGGGATAGATGAATGTATGCACTAGAAGATGGATAAAATAAATCATGGACTTAAATCAGTGCAACAGGACGCTAAAATATAACATGACGATATAATGGTTAACTTTGTATGCTCTCTATGTAGTAAGCAGAATATAAATTGATTCTACACTCTTTCCATTCAGTATTCTCTCAACTGCTAATGGTGTTATTTCAGTATATCATAGTGCTTATCTAACCCATAATGTTCCAGTGCCAAGCCTGACTCATGGTTGTAGTGAAAGGCCAAATGGCTACACTACAACTGAGACTCATTGACCTTTACAAATATTTTTAGCCATATGGTTATGGGCTATTTGTTGTGCCATTTGCAGAACATAGGGGATAATGTCATTGTGAGTGGTTTCAGATTACATAGTAAATTCAGTTAGTCTTTCTGAAGACATAATAGTAAGAGCGAAAGTTGAGGCCACGCCATAGCTCAAGCGGTTATCGCTGGCTTCCCACTGTGGTGACCCGCGTTCGATCCCGGGTCTAGTCAAGTGGGATTTGTGGTAGATAAAGTGGCGCTGGGGCGGGTTTTCTCTGAATACTTCCATTTCCCCTGCCAATCTTCATTCCACAAAATTCTCCATCATCATAATCACCCAGGGCGGACTACAATAGGCAAATCAGTGGCCGCCGTACCAAGTGGACCCAGTTGGACTCCACCCCCCACTAAGCAAAGTAAAAATAAAAAAGAGGGAATGTTTCAGTTAACTGTGGCAATATAAAAATGACTTGTATCAGTAAATTCACCTTCCACTGTTGTACAAAAACTGTGTCCCTTGCATCAGATGTAAGCAATGTATAAGTTTGATAATATGAAGGAAAGTATTCTGCGTTGTAATATGCAAGCCTAATTACAGTAAAAATTAGACAAAGCATGGAAAAGAGATATCTCTAAGATTAATAACCATACCACAATGACATATGATGGAGTGGAATTCCACATATTGTTAACCTCAACATTAGATGAGCAAAGTGATCAGGGTCATACACTGATCATTTTGTCCCTGGAGAGAGACTTGCCAGTACTCATTGAACAGGAGACTGGATGGGCCCTAGAGCCATTCTTGATGTGAAGAAAAGAACCCCATCCTCCACGTATTAAATTCCAGTTGCTTTAGCCTGTAAGCAATCACTTTACTGACTGAGCTATCTGAGTCCTTTATTCATTCATATATTTCCAATTTATGTTATTATGGTATCAGTAATTCAGACTGTAGGCCTGTGGCATCAAATGACTGAATGACAGTGAACAGTGAATTTGAAAGGATGTGGAAGGAAGCAATAAAGGCCTAACTGAAGATACTACCCCTGCATTTGCTTGGAAGGATTGATCCAGCTTCATCAATCTGGTCACATTTTTACTAAATTGGAATCTATAAAAAGTAACACTAAAAGTGTCTAAAATGGTAATTTGTACACATTTAAGAATGTCTGCTATTTTATGTAAACTCTTTACTCAGCTCTTGAACAAGAATGAGTTGTAAAGCTCTAGATTAGACCACCAATGGACTTTAGCATGTAATCAGAACCTTAACACTCCACCATATTACATGTTATATCCAGCGCTCACAATCTATATTATACTATACAAACAGCCAAGTACATCTACATTTCCATTTGGAATCTACTGTCTTCTACAAATATTTCCATCTCAAATTTATGTAGAGACAACTGAAAATAAACTTCTGGTCAAGCTACATCCTATCAGTTGCGATAAATTAGTTTACAATAGATTGCTATGGTCTACAGGCTGTCATTCATTATAGGGATTCACGGTGTTTGCTGGCTTCCAAGACAAGGACAAAGGAAGTAAAAGCGCAAGGAAGCTAAAGGATGAGTCTTCAGGACGTCTGCATACTTTGCAGCTGGATGTAACATCAGAGAAAGAGATATTAGCAGCTGCAGCTTATGTGAAGGAGAACTTACCTCATGGAACATCTGGTAAAGTGGAAAGGATGTAATTGTTCCTCTAGTACTGAAATAGAACATTTAAACAATCCAATGTTTGAAACAGAGGAAAACAACAGTTGAAAGGTGTACTCCAATTTTGAGTACACAAAGCTTCCAAATGCATTCTTGTGATCTGTATGTATTGGTCTCAGTGTTCCTTCATCACATCTCTTCAGTTGTGTAGAATGTTTACAAATGATTTATTTTTTATAATTAATGATTTTTGAAAGGCTGGGGTCTGCTATTACTAAAATATAAGGAACATTCATATGTTTACTGTATGGCATCAACAGACTGTAATGTACTGTGTGAGAGAACTCTCCATAGGTGTGGCGTTAGTGTCTGCTCTTCATAACAGGTATGCAGCTTGGTGGTTGTGTGTGAAATAAAATTGCGGAGCAAATTTCAAGTGTACTGATATCAGGACTGTGATTAAGTTCTATCTGCTCTCAGAAAGAAACTTACATTTGCACAGACCGCCCAGAAAACACCACTTCCATTTCCTCCACTGTTGCATAGGCATGTTGCTTAGCTATGGCTCTAGTATTGCTGCATGCTTACAAAGCTGTTGCTTATCAACAGGCATCTTTACAGAGCTGTTCCATAGCAATGGCTGTCTCTGCTGGCTTCACAGTTCTTGCTTTCAACAACATTCCACACTATGTTGTGACAACTGCCACTGTTACGACACATGGCAGAAGTGTAAATCTTGCCAACAGGGGTGTTTCACATCCGCATTGAATACTGTGGGACAACTGAAAATCTGTGCAAAATGGAGTGGCAAGCAATGAATTTTTGCCACCACACATTTCTTACATCAGAAAAGAGAGTGATGGATTTCTTTAACATTCTTTGATGGTGGACAAATCATAGCTACTTTCATTTGACCCAGAACTGATGCAAGAAATTTGAGTGGTTCCACCCCCAGTCAACATAAAAGGACTGGAGGGGTTCTCATAGTGGTGGCTATGGAGTTCTGTCTTTGGGGACACAATGCTGTGAAGTTTGTTAAAAGCCAACCAATCTTTTGGAGGAATATGTCACCTCCATCTTCAGGGTCAAAGAATAAGCAAAGGAACAAACCAACATGAAGCAGGTAATAAGATAAGCTCTTTTTCTTGCTTGGTTTCTTTTTAGACCTTGAAGATGGAGGTGACACATTCCTCCAAAATGCCAGTGGACTTTCAATTGACTGCATGACATTATATCCCACAAGACACAACTCTTTAGCATGAAAGACGTCTGGCATGACTGAGTTGTTGTTTGAAAATGTGAACATGTTTAATCCTGGGGAAAGAGCCCACGATACCCATTGGATAGGAGGGTGGGTGAACCCCAGAGCCAGTCCGGACAATGTGGAGAAGAGAAATTTCTTGACCCTACCAGGACTCGAACTCCAACCGCTCAGTCATCCAGCCTGTAGCTAGTCGCTTTACCGACTATGCTATCCTGGAGGGACTACAATTAATAACATTCAGAAAAGCAATTTCTCCATGAATTTAATATTTCTTGTATTCAAAATTAGCTCTCCATCTTGCATTTTCACTACAAGCTCTTACAATGTGTTTGGCTTTCTTCAGCTCTCTGTTAAGCACAGTTCTGTGTCATTTACTCTCAACCATATTTCATCTACTGATTTTATTATCCTTCACGTATGCTATAACCCCCCTTGGATTCTTTTCAAAATTGACTTGACTTTCTGCATAACATAATAAAAACACCCAGTCAAATTACAACTATATAATAACCACAGTAAGTCCATCAAAATATTTTTTTAGCTAAATTACTTTATATTCTCAATATTCCAAAAAATTGTGAGTTGTAGCACACCCACACTTCTTTTCATCTGTCTTTAGTTGGTTCTCCTCTGATTTCCAGGGCCCCTTATAAACTAGTTTCTTAAAATCATACTGTCTAGCATAAATATGAACCAAACTCCCAGCTGTGGTTCTCATAATTTTAATCTGATAATTTTAATACAGCATACCATCGAAAAATGTTTGAGTGACTCAAACAATCACTACCGTACACAATTTTCATCATTTCGTATGCTTCTCCGGCTGTTTTGCCTAACTTCAAACAAAATTTGATGTTGGCTCTCTATTCAACCGCCATTTTCCGACGAGCGTCAGAACAATACTGTTACATTCAAGGTCAGAACACATGATACAGTGATAGGTGCACTTTGAAATTATAGACAGCCACAGCTGAAACTTCAAGAATCTTAATGCCACAACTTGCCAGCAGATGGCATTGCAGGGCAAACTTTAGGGGGGGGGAAAGTCCTACCAGATCCTGGACATACCGTGTATGTGTTATGGGATCGAAGGAGTGTTCAACTCTCCTGTCCAAGTATGAACTCACAGAAGAACTCACTGTATTAACTAAATAATAATTATAAAAACTGAAATCATTAACTAATTATTTCATTTACATATCTCTTGAACTTTGATAAAACATCCCTTGTAATAAATGAAAATGTTCTGACATCACATATGCATCTTTGAGTAAGAACTTTAAAGGTTAAGTCATACGCAGTAATGAATGCCAACACCTACATCTTATAACTTCATACTTTAAAAGCAAATAATTAGATTTTAATTTTAAACCTCAGCTAGAAATAAAATCATGCAACACACAAGTACATACTCAAGAATTCAGTTTATCTCTTTAGTATGTAAGCTCAGAAAAATTACAAACTTCAACTGAACTGACAGTTTATCTGTACAATGCCTCCAATGGATCTAAAATACTAGAAAATATGTGAACTGTGAGTGGATGTTCATTTCCATCCCTGTCTTTGGAAACCCCCCCCACTATGCTACTCTCCTCTCTCTCTCTCTCTCTCTCATCTAGCACTTGTCACCTTGCACTTTACCCTACTGTCAAGATACACAGTGAACATTATAATCAGTCGGTGCATAGTAAAACTGTCTAACGTGATCTGGTATCTGAACTTATCCCAGCAATACTCACTTTCTTACTGAAGAAGGGTAGGGGAGGGAGTCCCTAAACTGTGAAAACAAAGGCAGTGCTCTGATTCTTGTCACAGATTTTAAATCCATTGGTCGTGTGTGTATATATACACAATTTCAAAGAATTAAAAATAAAATAAAGAAATAATATTAACATATTTCAATAGATATTTTTTTACATTCCACAGGTCTTTGGGCTCTAGTGAACAGTTCAACGTGGGCCGCTTTTGGTGAGGTTGAATGGATTCCATTCGCTGTATATAAAGAGGCTACAGAAGTGAATCTTCTCAGTGCAATCAGGATCACACAAGTTTTCTTGCCACTCATTCGTAAAACTAAGGGTTAGTAAGGAAACTGAGGAACAAATCCCCGTGAAAATGTAAGCCTTTGAGATCCCTACAAATATTTGCATCTGACACTCCATCTTCAGGAAATTATACCCAAAGAACAGGAATTTATACCACTGTGAAGTTTCATAAAATTCCAGCTTCACCAAATATTACTGAATGATCTGTACAGGTATGGCAGTAACTTCAGGAGTTTAGACATCTCTTTTAAAATACAAACAACAACTAATGTCACATTGTGTGTCTGAAATTTCTTTGTTTTATTCCATCACCACAACAGGTAGTATGGACACACCATACATTCCTCTTTCCTTACATGTTTTGGCTTATTAAGCCATCATTATATATTTGACTTATATTTTTTCTGGTCTTTAAAGTGAATACATTTTTATGAGAATATACGTGTTTTTGTTTGTATGTGGAGGAAAGGGTATGTTTTTTCTAACCTTGTACTGATGCAGTATTTATTTGGTTGGTTTGTAGGTGTATGACTGTGTTTTCTCCTTGTTTGTGTTCCTGAGAATATGTGTTTTCTTTAAGCAGTTAAGTGGGTATGATGTCTTAACATGTCATGCACTACTCTGCATCATAGTGGGGATGGCATCTCTACACATCATGAATGTTTACAACTACACTGTTGTAGATGTAATAACAGTCAGCAATGCAAATTTGTATGTTGTGCTTGTTAGATAATAAAACTAAATAACAATAGATAATAATAAATATAATAATAACACATATGTTTACATACTACTAAAAAAAAGCGGCCTCCGTAGTCTAGAGGTAACGTTCCCACCTCATGACTCGTAGTACGCCGTTTCAAATACCCGGCGGAGGTCGTCGAATTTTTATGGGCAGAAAAATTCAGGGAACAAGTCCTCCGGGAGGGACTTTAAGCCGTAGGCCCAGTGTCGTAGCTTTATGGCACGTAAAAAGAACCTCATATCTCCAAAGGAGGTCACTGAGCCAAATTACGGACGTTTCCCGCCCAACAGCAGTCTCTAATACCTCTGGTAGATGGGGGAAGCATTATAGATACCTCTCAGCTAGTAGAGCCGGTTTCGCTGGCTGGGCGGGACTGATGGTAAGCACCAATACCGGTAGGATATAGAGACTGGTAGAAATCATAGAGGGAAGCACAATACAGGTCTAAGTGCATGGGGAAACCCACCCTCTCCAATAACTAACTAAGTAACTAACTACTACTAAAAAACAAGTATTCCAATATGTAAAGACTGACCGATGTCAGACTACTAGCAGTTGAATACAAGCGAATGTAAAAAAAGTAAAATACCTGATGATGGCTTGAATGAATGAATGAATGAACTATTTCAACCCTTCACAAATCCTACACTTCAAATGAAAGGTAGTATCTTACTTTCAGGGGTGCCCTGACTGTCACCTGCTCCATAAAGTAATGGCCCAGGTGACAAATCAATGATGGCTTAATGAGCCAAGACATGTTGTAAGAAAAAACGAAGGTATGATGTGTCCATACTACCTACTGTGGTGAGAGAATAAAATAAAGGAAACTACAACATGTGACCTTGTGGTTCATCCAATGAATTTCAGTGAAGGTCTCAGATGTGAGAATGGCCTGACCAACTGCGTATGTTTCTACATACCCTCAATTCTAATAAAGTTAATAATTGATGAATATGAGGAATACGTTTGACCATCCTCAGATACTGCTTAGAGAAAGACAAAGAAAAGAAAAAACACATATGACATCTGAAGACATGACTGAGGAATTCAGTTAAACATCCCATCATGATATTAAAATTTTGCATGTGTGTCTATATATATACAGGGTAATTCATAAGTCCCTCCAGAAATTCTAAACTGGACAGTGCAACAACCAAGACAGACACAGCAGAAAGGAGCATTTCAGTTGGTAGATAATCTCTCGAAGTTTGTTTGGGTAATAGGCACCATGGCATATTTTCAGGTTTCACCACTAGCGGGCAGTCATGACGAAACATGGTGAGGACAGGGGATAAGAAAGCGTTGTGTCTTGGAATTTGCCAAAACTGAGTCAATTGTGATGGTGCAATGGAGGTTTCGAACCAAGTATCACATAGAACCACCTACAGACAAAACAATTCATGGGTGGTACATGAAATTCCAGCAGAGTGGCTGCCTGTGCACTGCAAAATAAACAGGCTGGCCAGGGCCATCAAGCATGTTACCAGTATCAACTACCTGGACCAGCTGCAACTATGGCTAATGCCACAATTATAGGAAGATAGCAAGGACTTCATTTTCCAACATGACAGAGCCCTTCCATATTTCCATTTTGACGTCCATGCTCACCTCAGTGCTAATCTTCCTGGTCACTGGATTGAGCATGCTTCTGACTGTGACTCTCCTCTTCTTCCCTGGTCTCCACAGTCATCCGACCTAACCCATGATTTTTTTCTATGGGGTTACATCAAGAATCGTGTGTACGTATCCTCTATGTGATGCAATTTACCACAGGATCATGAAGACAGTCCCTGCTATTGACCATGAGATGTTGCAATGTGTGTGGCAGGAACTTGATTACACGATTGATGTCTGCCACGTCACCATGGGTGGATATATCGAGCACCTGTAAGGTAGAACAATCTCTCTCCTTTTGTTGACAGCCCCCACCCTCCTGTCATGACCATCCTGGCTACTGTACAGCAGAGTTCAGAAATCATGGAGGGACTCATGAGTTACCCTGCATATAGAAAACAATCAAATTTTAGTCTGAAGAATGATACACAGGTTTACAGCCATTCAGTGGGAACTAACAATCAGTACATTCTACAGGGTAATGTTACCATAATCAAGTTTACCTTTACCATGACTTTTATTGTTGTTGTTAACTCCTCTTATAGGTCGTGTAATAAATATTGTAAGTATTCTTGGCCGCATTGCAGCACCTCTCCGTTCTCCATACTGTACAGTTAAATTTGGAATGGAAGCTTTCAGTGACTGCCTCCGACTGGAAATGCGACGTTGGGGAGTAGATGTCATTGTAGTTGAACCTGGTGATTATACCACTGGTGAGCAAAGCCCTTACATAATATACATATTTCAATATACCACCAGTAACCAAAACCCTTATTTCAATATACAAGGAAGAGCCAAGGAAAATTATTAAAGTAACTGGCTATGGGCAGGATGACCAGGGTTTCATTTCCTGGAAGACAAGGATTTTTCTCTTCACTACCATATCCAGACCGAGCCGGGATAGCTCAGTTGGTATAATAACAGGTTATGGGCTGAGTGGCTGTGGCTTGATTTCTGGTAAGCGAAAGAGCTTTTTCTCTACTCTA